CAATGAAGACACATCTTCCAACAACCCCTCAATCCATTTTGTCCCTCCGTTCCAAGGGTCATGGTGGACTGAAAGTAAAGGGACACTCCTGGAGAGACAAGGCCAAATTCAGGACAGCACAGAGCAGTTTGGCAAACTCAACATCACCCTGGCCTGGGATGGCTGTAACCATTCAGACTCAATCATTAATTGGGATCTGCATGGAGACAACCAGTGGACAGACAAATATCCTGAAGAGAAGACAAAACTGACTCTCAGCAAACTGAATGGGCTGGTACAAAGGCTTGAGCAATTTCTAGAAAATCAGAAAGATGACGAAGATGATGAGTCTGTATTCCCTGAATATGCTCAAACGGAAGATTTCCAGCTGTCCAGCAGCACCCCTTCAGATGTGGCTCAGGTCAGTCATCGAGAACATGATACTTGTCTTCAAGATTTGCCCACATTCAACCCACCAGAAAATGATGCCATCCAGTGTCCACAGACTCCTCCAAAGCTTCAGGAACATGAACTTGCTGAGGTGAGCACAGTGATGCCTCAGAGGCAAGCAGGGGGCAGGCCTGGTGGAGGGGCCTGGATGGAATTCAGGGAACATTGCTACCTGCTATGAAGCAGGGCGGGCCCTCTGGGTGTCTGACATGGCTGGGAGTGGAAGAAGGATAACATCAAGGAAAAGGGTCAGGGTGGAGTTGAAGGAAAAACACCAAGGACCACTGAGGGAGAGAAGAGGATAGGAAAGTAAAGAAAAGGCTAACAATTAGGGCCCCCCAAAAGTGTGAGTGTCTGTATTAATGAGTATGGAAACTTTGCATTTACAGATGGGTTATTTTTGGTAAAAGGACTTGAGTCCCAAGAATGGGTAATTATGGACCCCATGTTGTCCAGGTTGCACATAACTCTCTCATCATTCATTTCCTTGGCAGACAAAAAGACAGGCAACTGGCAGACAAAGTACAAGTACTACAGAGACCTGCTCAATCTCATCAGATAAGCCGAAGAAGGACACTCATTCTAGTACACAACCCCTCTTCTTTCTCAACTTCAGGTGGGTCTTCCGCTGGCTAAGGCAGCGAGTCCTCTCCTTATTTTGGGGAAGAGAGCATCCCAAGAAGGCCCCCAAGAACCCCCATAAGCTGACACAAAGGAAAAGATTCTCTCACAGAAGCAAAATCCAACCTCAAGAACCCATTGAAGGAGAATACCCTATATTGCCAGATTTTAAAACTTTTTGATTGCCCCTATTCTACAATTCCCATGAATCATCTCCCTTCACCTCCAATAAACAAAACACATATTCTTATAATCCATGTCTTCCTCTTCCAGCTCACCATCTTGACTTGACTCAGGCTAACAGTATATATGCTATCTAGAAGACTGAAATATATTCTCTGGGAATTTTAAGCAGTATCATTCTTCCTAACATGAAAGTGTCCTTTTTCTCTCCTTCTTATTGTATTTTTATCCTATTTCATCATTAACCCAGATCTCTGTTTTCAGAAGGTAGCAGTATATCCCATCAGATTCCCAACCTGGCAGTACAGTTTTGGTTGAACTTCTGGGGCTCAAGCAAGTGGCAGTGGGTACTTGATCACTCAGGAAGGGCTTCAACTGGCAGTGTCTCAGGAGTTCAGACAGTCCTTCTGATGCTCCTAGGGGACCTCACTGGTTCTAGCATGCGTCGCCTTGGCTATAAAATAAGTAGGTCCATTTAGGAGGAATGTGAGGATGGGGAATGCTACTTAATCACTCTAAACCAAACTTTCCTCATTCATGAAACGGGAAAGATGATAATACATATCTCATAGGGTTGTTGAGAGAATAAATGAGATAATATAAGCACTTCATAAATATTTTTATTGTTGTTGCTATTATCCATTCTCCCCAGATGTCTTCATCCAAGAGTAAGAATTTAAAAGTCAATTCTCATTGCAATATTTCCCACATAGAAGCAGTATTTACTCAAATTTATGGATTTGGGCAGATCTTGACTCAATCAAGTCCTCTCCCAACCCATTCTCCACTGTGCCCTCTGATAATTCCTTTATATGTCACTAAACTTTCCTCTAAATGTCAACTTCTTTGAAGAAGGCTGTCCATACTCCCCCTCCTTGCACTGACCTCTCCCCGTTATTATTCTTAACTCACCTCCCTAATACCACTACCATCCTCCTCATTCACCCACAGCTACTCAAAACTCTCCTTCTTCAGCTTTTGCTACTTCCTACATAATCTTCAGAGTTCACGTAGTAAAGTGTATAATTCTTTAGTCTCAAATTCCTTCTGTCTCTCAATTTCAATTTCCTTATCCAATTCCTTCCTCTTTTCTTTCCTCCCTTCCACAAATACTTAGCACAAAGGAATGTCAGACACTTTTCTGGCTTACCCAAAACAAAATAAAAACAAACTGTGGATTCAAGTGGCTTATCATTTAAGAGATAAAGCCATGTAAACACATGACTATAAAGAGGTGTAGATGAGAATAGTCTTATGAGTTACACACTGGGTACCAAAGAATAATCAATTCAACATGGGAAGGTTGATTTGAAAGGTTTTATATCAGAGTATCCTTGAGTTACAAATATGGTTAGTTTAAGCCACTGGATAAAATGGTGTGGAAGTAAGGCATGCAATCTGGGCTGGATAAATGTGAGAGACAGTGGAGATGATATTCCCCAAGGAAAGACAGTCCCATGAGAGGTAAAGGATCAAAGTATAGGGCCTTCTTAGCAATATGCTCCTGATCACACCTTGAGTCTCTTCAAAGCCGGACTCCTCATTTTATCCACCTCTCTGAGAACATTTTTCTATTCGACAAGCTCCTCCACCTGCACTTGCTCTTTGACTTCACCAAGACTTTGAGTTCCTTTACCATACCTGTTCCAAGATGTGCATTCACTTCCTTCCAGGTCCGACCTATGCACCTCCTTCCCAAACTGCAGCATATCCACCACATCTCGCAGCATTCAGAATGCCTTGCTCTCTTCTTTTCCTAGATATATTTTTTTAAAATCTACATTCCCCAAATTCCCCAACAGGATACTCTTGCTTCTCATAAGGGCCAATGTACAAAACACAGGGACTACTCTCTCCATTCCCTGGAGAATTTCCCCCATTACCTTCCCAAGTCCCCCACTGCCAGGGGAACCTGTTCTTAAAGACTCTACTCTAGGGTTAGCGTGAAGCCAAGACTCATCCTTCTAAATAAAACTGACCATGCCTTTCCTTAAACTGCCCCCTGGTCCCCACTCTGCCACCTCCACACCATGACTTGTACTTTTCAGACTTCTCTACTTGATTAATTCACCTAGTCTAGACTCTAACCCAGGGGTCCTCAAACTACGGCCCGTGGGCCACATGCAAATACAAATATTGTATTTGTTCCCGTTTTGTTTTTTTTACTTCAAAATAAGATATGTGCAGTGTGCATAGGAATTTGTTCATAGTTTTTTTTTTTAAACTATAGTCCGGCCCTCCAACGGTCTGAGGGACAGTGAACTGGCCCCCTGTTTAAAAAGTTTGAGGACCCCTGCTAACCTCTTGAGGGTAAGCACCAGGTCTTAGTTTGTTTTTACTACAAGATCCTAACACAGTATCTGGTACAGAGAGGTCTTTCTGCCTCTATATGACCAGCCGTGTTAAAAGCAGGGACCAGATTGGGGTGAGGGAAGGGTGGTGGCAGGAAGAAGAGAAAATGACGGCCTATGAAAGCTCAAGTGAGGTGGGAACTACAGACTGAGAAACCTAAGACTAGAAGAATTTAGCAACTAATTTGAAAATTTAACTCAACAAATATACATGGAGCCTTAATGTTGCTTTAGACACTATAATATGCCTAAAGATGGATAACATCTACCATCATAGCACATGTAACTAGAGTTTTATTATCATTTTAAGTAAAGCTGTAAGAAAAACTCAACTAAAATGAACTGGTTTTATTTATTTTTTTAAATTGTTTTATTGCTTAAAGTATTACAAAGAGTATTATATATGTCTCCTTTTTTTTTCTCCCCTTAACCCTCCCCTAGCCTCCCATGCCCCCCAGTGTCTTGTTATGCTCATATGCATGCATATAAGTCCTTCGGTTGATCTCTTACCCCCCTTCCCACCCCCCAACCCTCCCCAGCCTTCCCGCTGTAGTTTGACAGTCTGTTCAATGTTGCTCTGTCTCTGTATCTATTTTTGCTCATCAGTTTATAATGGTCTTAATTAGCCATAAATGAGTGAGATCATGTGGTATTTTTCTTTCATTGACTGGCTTATTTCATTTAGCATAATGCTCTCCAGTTCCATCCATGCTGTAGCAAATGGTAAGAATTCCTTCTTTTTTACAGCAGCATAGTTTTCCATCATGTAGATGTACCACAGTTTTCTAATCCATTCATCTGCTGATGGGCACTTAGGCTGTTTCCAGATCTTAGCTATGGTGTGAACTGGTTTTAAAAGATTGCTCACACTAAATAAGTAAGCCCTGTTCATTTTTCAGTGTTCCATAAACCTGCTTGACAAGTAGGAACGTACCTCTGTGATTCAAGCAATGTACTCTACAAGTCCTTATACTAAATATTCTTTGCAAAGAATCAGAATTCTAAATATTCTTTGGCGTTGCCATGCTACCTCTCAGAAAGTGAGTCAAAGTGTTTAAAAACAGGAAATATTCCAGTACCTCCTCAGTCATTATGGTGTCAAATATGCTATGAAGCTATTAGCTGCATGTCAACTGTGACTAATGATTCACTGCTTTGTGTCACATACATGGGGCTGGAGCTGGGGCTGGGGCTGGAGGAGGCCCACTACACATCAAGAGAATGGGAAGTAGTCACAGAAAGACACTATCTTTGGTGTAACCTCAAGCTGCTTGTAGAACTATTGTACTTGCCAGGCACATGCTAATCTAATTAACCAATAAGTTTTGGGATTCATTGTCTCAAGCCTCAAAGCTAAAATCATTCCTTTAAGTCAGTGGTCGGCAAACTGCGGCTCGAGAGCCACATGCGGCTCTTTGGCCCCTTGAGTGTGGCCACGAAGTTTTAATCGCACTGTACATGCGCGCCCGCACGTGGTATTTTGTGGAAGAGCCACACTCAAGGGGCCGCAGTTTGCCGACCACTGCTTTAAGTGAACTGCTCAACCCTGTAACCCATAAAGGTCAGCTGCTTGAATTAGCAAGATACTGCCTTAAATATTCATATTCTAGAATCTATAACAACACCATAAGATGAATCAGAAACACAGTGTGAGAACTTAGCAACACAGTGTCAGCTCTCACCAAACACAGAATTGGAATAAGCTAATGTAAATTTTATAGACCACCCCATACCAAGCCAATTTCTTATTCAGCAGGATCCCACTGACACACAAAAAAAGTGTGTGATCATACCAAACCAGCAAAACAGAGGCAAACCACTCTTCCAGACTTAAAGGATACAATATGAAAATTCATGGCTCAAGAGGATGCACAGGTCCAGGTCTACCCATCACAAAAACAGTGTCCAGCCCAGCGGGTGTGGCTCAGTGATTGAGCATCAACCCATGCACCAAGAGATGACCCGTTCCATTCCAGGTTACAGGCTCAATCCCTGGTGAGGGGCGTGCAGGAGACAACCAACTGATGTTCTCACTCATTGAAGTTTCTATCTCTCTCTCTCTCCCTTCCCCTTCCTCTCTCTAAAAAAATCAATAAAACATTTTTTAAAAAACCAGTGTCCCGCCCGGCCAGTGTGGCAAGTGGTTAAGCCTATGAACTAGGAGGTCACGGTGTGATTCCCTATCAGGGCACATACCCAGGTTTCCAGTTCGATCCCCAGTGGGGGGGCATGCAGGAGACAGCCAGTCAATCACTCTCTCTCATCATTGATGTTTCTATCTCTCTCCCTCTCCCTTCTTCTGTAAAATCAGTAAAAATATATGTTTTTTTTTAAAAGTGTCCAATGTCCTCTTACAAAACACTGAAAAGAAAAATAAAGCAAATTGTAAATTAATTCATAAAGAGGCCCTTGTAAGGTCCTTACCCCCAAATTTAAACAGTTTTGCTTAAGTAGGATGGATAGTTAAGTAAACATCTTTTCTTTATGAATTGCAAGTGGGAGAACTTATATTGCATGCAGTGTACTCTCCAATTTTGAGATGG